TTCTGGTATGGTAATAAGTAGCAAAAATATAAAAAAAGTCCAGTTGCTCAGTGGCGCACAAGGGCTCACAGTGTAATGGATAACACGACACGATTCGATAGATTCGATGGTAATAAAAATGAAGGATTCGATTCCCTCCCAACAGACATTCATTTGCAAAAAAGACTCCGTTCGTGACAGTCCAAGCGATACTGGAAGTACATTAAAGACCACAAAAGTTGCACACCAATAAAAAAAGAAACTCACCGAATTTACGCCCAATTTATGATTGTTTGTGTTGAGACCTTGCAGCAAAAGACAAGCCTTACAAATTTTTTGCGACGACATATAACCACACCTAAATTCAGGCACAGATATTATCACCAATGCGGTAACGTTCCACACAAATCCAATATCACTCCGGCCGTAAAAAATTAAGTGATGTTTCAAGTGAGAACTGAGGTCGGTTACTTTCTCCACTTACCGCTCTATCTCTTTCCCACAAATCCTCTTATAATTTATGCCAATAACACCCTATCGTAATGATAAAGTCCAGATGTGACGCAGAATTAGGACGTATGCAACTTCACAGACCAAAATGTCTTAATCTCAGCTAAACAATTCGTCCTTCCTATACAGTTATAGGTCCCAATATTTGATATTTTCCAAATATACTTCACAATTAGCCTAAAACAGAACACATAATTTTGCTTAAACTTAATAAGTAGTACCCCAACATAATTATTAAATAATACTGATTACGGGAAATTCGTGCAACTGAGGGTGACAGGAACAAAGATCTGAACATAGAGGACTGCGTATTAAAATTTCAAATCACTCTACTGAATATACAAACCTTTCGCATGCACTGAGCACCGGAAGCGAGACATTGGTACGCACACAGATCGATTCACCGGACCGGATCAAATCAAGAATCGCTTTTGGCCGTATTCGTTCCAGCTCCTTCACATAGGTTCTGCAGAAAAGTAGCATTGTGTTCAGACTATATTCAAAACGCCCAAAGAATTAGGACAATGGTTTTGCGCTACAGGAATGTGGATAAGGTGGAAAAAAGGGGAGAGCGCATGTGCCAATATACTAGAGCAACGAGGCATCTACATTTTATCCTGAAAAACAAACCTTATGTAACTACGAAATGAATCACGGGCATATCGGCATTCGGTTGAAAAATAACGCAGCTTATTGAAGTGCGCATATAATACAATATCTTTTTCGAAGGTATATTTCAGCGGTTTGACTCGGGGCATGGAACCCCCTGAACCTGCAAAAAACACTGGCATACTATCAAGCTCATCAACCGTTTTCCAAAAAATAGGCAAAAAAGATTTAATAAATGTAGAAAGATCACTAAATATTATATTTGGATAAAGAAAAAAGCTTCAACAAGTTAATAGAGGCCGAATATTAGTATTTGGATCAGCAAGAAAAAAAACAACAATTCATGCAACCTTCGAACAGTCTGGCACATCACTGCAGCAAAAGGACTGGCAAATAATTAGGGGCATAAGAAAATGGTTTATCACTAGTGCACAGAGCTTTACTTGGCGGGTAGAAGGCTGCACTGGTGGCACCCGCTCCTGACCGGATGCAAAGTTCGGCCGGTGTTTACAGCTAAGGGATGAAACACACAGACAGACTGCATCGTAAAATGTCTTCTTACACATGGCGCTTACTCCAATCCCTCTGTTCTACTGTTTTATCCTACCAAGATAAGAACAAAAGACCTGAGTGATGTACCTAAATTACCAAAAACCTTCTAACGGGTAAAGTACTTCATCCAGGCCTACAAAACCGGCATCCGGAACAAGCTGACGATTTTCAACGAACAGCAAGCATAACTCAAAAGTGTTTAAGCCTTGTCAAATGCTCTTTTTTCGTCAGAATAACTAAATTAGCAATCCTTTTAGGAGACGAAACGAACGTCAGGATCGCTAGCAGAATGGCCACTAAGCGAAGCAACATTGGCCAAAGCATTGGAGGTTACGAGCTGATGAAGCTAAAGAAAAACACTATGAATTGGGAAAAAAATCAGATATTTCAAG